CCTGAGATAAGTTCTCTGGTCATCTACACTGAGCTGGCCTTTTAACCATGTTCTGTTCCTCATATACCTGATGATAGACGTTATAAATGAATGGGTGCTATGCCACACAGTGCTAAATGATCCAACATTATATTTTGTCTACGCTATTATTCCTGATGAAATAGATTCTATTTGCCTGTGTTCTTAACTATGGCAATTAAGTCTAATAACTAGTCTTGTTAATACATTGCTGCATATCAATGGTAATGCTGAGGTTCCGTGTACAAGGTCATTCCCCTAAATGAGCATCATCAGCAGGCAGACCTTTGTCAAGCTCTTTCCTCATATACCTTAACTGTATCCTTTCATTATTCAACAAATAATGAATGGGTGTATTCGGTCTGATGAGTCTGCGTCATTATTGAACATTCCTAAGCTTGTCATATGAGATGCAGCAATAGGTACAAATGTACTCTCTGATGAGCACCCGTTGAATTTTGTCTGCCACCTGCTTTTGTGAAGAAATCCATTTGTTTGTATGAACTACTGAGGGTTCCACATGCAGAGGGCATTTCTTCGGGCAGGATCTGGTCCTTAATGATGATGGGCTGGTAGAACCGCATGAATTAAATATGTAATAAATATTTGATGACAAGGTGATAATTACTCAAAACCAAGTTATTTGATGAAATGAGACCTACTGTATGTTTTCACTGTGCAGGGGAGTTAACTAAAACTATGTTTTGATTAAAAAAACATTCAGGTTCCCATTTCACAGGCACCAAAATAATTCCCATGTCTTCTAAAAGGGACACAAGTTTGGGGAGGGGGATGGAGAACCTGATGTCTTGAGAAGACTTGAAGGGAAATGAATGTGTGGTATCTGGGAAAAAGGATGCCAGCATGTCTGAACTCACAACCTGCATTTTTCCTCCTTTCATTTGTGTGTGGTGTATGTATGTGTGAGCACATGGAGGTTAAAAGCCATCATTAGGTATCTTCCATCTCCACCTTATTTAGATTTTTTTGAGACAAGTTCTTTTATTGAACCCAGAATTCTTCATTTTGGCTAGAATGGGTGGCCAGTGTGCTTGTGGGACCTGCCCATCTGTCTCCATTCCCAGCTGGGCTACAAACATGTCTCCAGTCCTGGCTTCTGTGTGGGTCCTGGGAATGCTTTTGTGGCAAACACTTTACCCACTGAGTAATCTCCCCTACCCAGCTTCTTATACTTCTTTATTCAAAGCAATATCCTCTTTATCTGACCTATTTGTTAAACCACATTGGTAAGTAGTATGTGGTTTGCTTACTGCATGCAGCTGGCTTGGGGAGACACATAAGGCACTATTATTGATAGGTACAATACAGAGCTCAGGGTCTGCAGGGCTATCACGAAAGTTGGAGTGCTTCTTTGGTAACAGGCATTCTTTAGAATGTCTATACAAAAATAGGTGGATTGTTAATAGTTTGACAAACCAATAGAAACTCCAATGTATGCTATGCTAGGATACTTGGTTAGTTAACACCGATTTCTAAAGAAAACATGGAAGATATTTCATTGCACAGAAATTTTAATAGAAGAAAGTCAAACCACAAAGTAAGGATATATTGAGGAAAGCACAGTGTACACCAAGGAATGATGAAACATTATGCTAAATCCTTTACACCATATGCATCATGACAAATCAGATTGTCTTAATACTGTCCTATTACTGTCATATGACACCATGACTAAGGCAACTTATAGAAGAAAGTTTTTGTGCTTACAGTTTCAAAAGGTTAGAGTTCATGCCCATGATGTTGGGCAAAATGCAGACATGCTTGGTACTGAGGTAATAACTAAGAGGGCACATCTTGATTCACAAACATGATACAGAGACTGGGAGCTTGTGGGCTTCTGAATCCTCAAAGCCCATGCCTTAGTGATATATGTTCTCTTCTAATAAGGCCACACTTCCTAATCCTTCCGAAACAGTTCCATCAACTGCTGAGCAAGTATTCAAATATATGAGTCTATGGTGGTCACTCTCATTCAAACCTCCTCATTCCTCTTCTGTCCCCAAGGCTTGTGGCCATATTATAATGCAAAAATGTGGTTAGTGCAACTTAAGTGATATGTGTGTACTTTTATATTATTGATATAATTTTAATGTTTCTAATGCCAAGTAACTTTTTATGTGATCCAATCATTTGTATCAAGCTGAGTTTACTTATTTAAAAGAAAAATACTTTGAGATATGATCTTGCTATTGCAGCTCAGGCTGGCTCTGAAGTCTCTATCATTCGACTTTAGTCCCCTGAGTGCTGGAATTACAGGAGCTAAAGCTGCTTTTAAAATGCCATTGGTAGTTCTTTAGTAATGACCTTTTACCAACTTTAGGAGAGTCACTTGCTGTACTAGTTAGATGCAGTTATTCAAACACCCAGGGAAACTGAGAATATTAGATAACTTTTGGCCTCTCCTATTGAGTTTGCCTTTATTGCATGGGATGGTGAAACCTGTATTTATTTTCTTCCTACTTTGTACCATAAGTGACAAGGATGTAACATACAGTCCTGAAATAGGATTTCATTGCTTTTCCTGGAGAAAAACGACATCACGAATTTTATTGAATGCTCAATATTCTTGACATTTTCACTGAGTTTGCCTTAGATAGCCACTAATCAATGTGGTGGTTTCTCAAGAAGATGGAAATTGATCTTCCTATGCCACTCTTAGGGATGTGCCCAAGGGATGCTTCATCCTACCATAGGGACACTTTCTCTACCATGTTCATTGGTACTCAATTCATGATGGCCAAAGTTTAGAAATGGCCCTGATGTTCCTCAACAGAAGAAATGGATAAAGAAAATATGGTACATTTATAGAATGGAGTATTACTCAGCCATTAAAAATGACCCATGACATTTGCAGGCAAATGGATGGAACTAGATAAAAATCATCCTGAGTAAGGTATCCCAGACCCTTAAGGACAAATATGGTATATATTCACTTATATGTGGATCTTATCTGTAAAGTCAATGATAACCAAGCAACAATAGGACCACACAGGGTAGTTATAAAGGACTAGAGAGTACAGATAGATCTTGTTAGGAAAGGGAAATAGAAAATACATAATTATAATTATAGATGGGTGTGGAGTAGAGGGATCAAGTAGGAAGGGGAGAGGAATTGTGGGAGGGAATACATGGTAGAAACAGCTAAAATTTAGGGGCATTTGAAGAGATGGAAACCTAATACAGTAGATGCTTCCTAAAATATATACATATAAGGTGATCTAAACAAATTCATCAAATAATGGGGAGACAGTTACAACTGACCATCTTTTGTCAGCAAATAGTTTCCAGTACTGGATGTGGTTATATTTGAGTTGTTGGCCAAAGGAATGCATGGGAACTATCAAACAACTCAGGCTATTATCAAGACTGTAAGTGTCTCTCCACAAACTGGCAGCAAGATGCCACTGCTGAAGACAACACCTCCACAACTCACTGAACATGGAGAGGTCAAGCTGGTGCCTACACAGAGCCTTCAACCCTGTGTTCTAGTGTCCCTGGCACAGGAGCATGCTCTGTATGCTGCCAAAAAATGAAACATAAAACCAAGCTAACCACAAATCCTTTGATTTACTACTGTCTGCAAGATGTGCTAGTGCTGCAGGGAGCAGGCGGTGCACGACTTTAATCCCAGCACTTGGAAGAGGCAGGTAGATTTCTGTGAGTTCAAGGCCAGCCTGGCCTACAAAGTGAGTTCCAGGGCAGCCAGGCCTGTTATACAAAGGAAAACCTGTCTTAGAAAACAAACAAAAACCATGCTACTGCAATGGTGGCAGACTGTGGGAGTAACCAGCCAATACTTGACTCAAGGCCCACTCCATGAGATAGAACTCATACCTGATACTGCTTGGGTGACCAAGAACCAGAGACTAGATAGCCCAGGGGCCTAGGGTAAATCCAAATACTACTGGTCTAAAAATCAAAACCCCAAACAAAAAAAAATCCCTATAGTGATACAATGACTCCTGCTGATATCTTGTGACATTCATAGATCAGTTTCTTGTCTAGTCATCATCAAAGATGCTTCCTCCTGCAGCAGATGGGGACAGACACCCACAGCCAGTCATGTAGAGAGTGAGAGACTTTGGAACACTTAGCTTTAAACGGGATGTCTCCATCAAATCCCTCTCAGTGCTCAGAGAACCCTGCAGAAGAGGAGGCATAAAGAGTGTAAGAGCCAAGGGCATGGAGGACACCAAGAGAACAAGGCCTTCTAGATCACCTGAGCAAAGCCCGTGTGAACTCAGAGACTAAGGGAGCATGCACAGGGCCTGCACTGGTCCACACCAGGTCTTCTATATACATATTTTGGCTTCCAGTTTAGTGTTTTTATGGGATTCCTGAGTGTGTGAACAAGTGGGTGTCTGATCTTTGTGCCTTTTCTTGGGATCTTTTCCTCCCATTGGTTTGTCCTGTTCAACTTCCATGTGATAGTTTTTGTATTAATACTATCTCTTAGAAGCCTGTACTTTTCTAATAAGAGACAGAAAGGGGGTGGGTCCAGATGAGAGGGGAGAGAAGGAAGGAACTGGGAAGGTAAATCATAATTAGGATATATTATGTGAGAAAAGAAGAAAAGGTCCCAGTATAAAAGACGAGTAGAGTAGAGCAGTGTACCTTCTTTCTGCCCCACTGCTGTGATGGGCATTTTATCCCCCTTCCTTGTTAATTTTTCAGCAATATCTTTTGTAATTTTTTCATTAAATTTCTTCATTTGTGTGAAAATGTGTGCAAACACACACATGCCAAGATATTATGTGCGGAGGTCACAGGACAGCTTTCAGGACTTGGTTCTCTTCTTCCACCATGTGGGCCCTGGGGATTGAACGTGGATCATTAAGCTTGGCAGCAAGTGCCTTAAATTGCTAAGCCATCTGTCCAGTTGAGGTCTCTTTTACCATCATCACTAACAATCCACATGCTTTAGACAATAATTTACTCACAAAGGAAAAGACACCACCAGCTTTATTAATAACCAACATTTTTATTAGAGCAGTTACAGTTGTGGAAACTGTACATTATACATTTTGGTTTCAAGGATTTTATATAAATTACGGAACTCACTGGCAGGGAGTTCTTTTTCACAGCAAGAAACTTTAAATAACAAAGTCATGTTTTATTAAGTACATTGGCAGACTTTATGTGCTGTCCAAAATGTAGAGTACAGTATAACAACCTATTAGAAAGATCCTTCATGGAAAATACAGCTGTGCACATTTTAGAAAAATACCCACAATTTGAGCTTTGTTTTAAAAAAGCTTATAAATCATATATATATTTATAAATGGAGCCAACATGCTCACTTTATAAACATCCTTTAATTCTCTGTTGCCCATTATTTTCAAAGCATTACACATTTAAATAAACACTTAGTAAGATTAAATATTCTATTTTCTTAAAAAAAAAGCCTTCCCAACATAAGGAGCTACAGGGGTAGGAAGGAGCAGGGACAATGTGGAGACCCACACAGGGACTTAGTTTGTTCTTGAGTAAAAATGGACTTTCTAAATTTAAAAGTCAAAGCAAAATGTAAAAAATAAATATACAAGTTGTAATTTTACTTTCATTTGCTCTCTTTCTGCCTTATTCTTATTTAATCCATGTTGGTCACACCCAGGAGTCTTAATATATTGCACTTCTGCAAAAAATAAATAAAACAACAACAACCCCCCCCCACTGGGTTACTACCCTGCAGGTGGCTTGAAGCATGCAGTCCACATGTCTCGTCTGCACTGAGAAGGCAACTAAGGGTGAAAGACTCAGCTGACACCATGACGTCACGGTTAAGATCTAGAACAGTTCCCCTCCACAAGGTAAGACCTTCAAGAGACTCGGACATACCTTTCCTCCCCTGATTTCTTCTTAAATAAGCATTCTTTATAAAGATCCCAGAGTTTCTCTAGGTAAGCATGCTTCTGAGTAAAATATGTAATAAAAAATCAACATCAGAACAAAACAGGACAGCAAAAGACAAATATTTAAAATAAAGCCATCTATGTCTTTAAATTTTAAAATAAAATTACAAAACAACTTTGAAAAATGTTGAAGGCAGAGAATTGAGGAGCATCGACTTAACAAAGCTTCACCATCTACCTGAAGGCATTCAACCAAAATTTGAGGTTGGGATGGGGGTGGGGGGATGGAGAGAGAGAAGAGGAGCTATTAATAGCATCTTGCTTAACTTTCATGGGAATTAACATAGCCACTGACAAGATTTTATTTGGTTGTAACGTACGTCAGCAATGAAACCGAACCCGTAACCACTGATTACAGCAATCCATGCAACATTTCGCCTACACTGCTGCTGTCTTTCAGCTTTTAAAATGAAGGAAGCACCTCCTGAGTGCGTCAACCATTCACCTCAACAATGTCAAAAACATTTCAAATTAAATAATTTCTTTGGAAGGTATAATACCTTCAGACCACTACATCTTAAAGACAAATAGCCTTCTATTTGTTTAGAAAGAATAAGCAACATGAAAATGATGTATTGCTATTCAAATAAACAACACTCTTTCACTAATCTTTTGTTGTTACTTTTCCTTGAGATGCAACCTGTGTGTTTTTGTCCAGCCAGGACTGCAGGTGGCAGATGACTATGCATCATACTTAAATAAACAGCACAAATGAGCAGAGTCGTGCACTAGCAAATGAAACGTTCTCTCCCAGAACACTCTAGGAGACGTTAAACAGCCGGTCTTTGCAGAGGACTGCTGAGTGACGCTGCTACCTACTTCTTCTAATGAGATAGCGGTGAATGTTGGAACCACGCCTACCGCAGCACAATCCTCAGCCCACATTCCTTGGGCAGTCTTCTCTCCCCAGCTCCCTACTAAAAGCGTCAGATGGTAAAATAGTAAGGCAGCTGTTGACTTCCATCAAGAAAAAAAAGTTGCGGGTCCATACATTTCCAGTTTAGTCACACTCTGCTAGGACAGATGGAGTAGCCAATGCCAAGAACTTCGCCGGATGGGGCTGCTTCAGCAGATTTTAAAAAAGAATCATTATTAAGCTTTGCTCTCCAACATGGCTGTGTACTTCAGCTCCCAGGGGACCCCAAAAGACACAAAGCATTCTTGGGGGACTGAACAGGTCCTCTGGCTGCATTTTCCAAGTCTCCTCTCTTTCGTGATCCCATCCCAATTTCAGCCTCCTTGCCTGAGTCTGACTGGGCTGTGCCGTTTAAAGGGCTGAGGACGCCATGGCAGAACTGTGGGCTAACTCCACTAGTTGTCATGACTTCACTGAAGGGTCAAAACAGTTGTAACATTAAATAACCATACTGAGTCACATTTAGGCACAGCCAACATTAAAGTGAAAGACAATGTCATTGTTAAGAAAATGTAAATTGGAATTGGAGAAAACAATGTTACTGCAATTTTGTATAGAGATTAAGGTTATGCTTACCTTTCCCAATCCAATCAAGTCAGAAAGTGAACAAAAAGAATGGCCAACCCGATATTCAACAACATGACCAGGACAATCATGACAGAATTAGGGCCCTGAAGGAGAAAACAGAACAGAACAAGCAATGTTTCCATGCCAGTACAGCTGCTCTACACAAACCCAGCACCAGAACCAATTACCAGAAATGTAAGCATGCAAACATGGCTAAAGAAACTAAAAGGCATAAAAGGTAACAGCCCTTCCAAAAGGTGTGAGCTAAATACAATAATGCTACGTTTAGATGGAGTCACTGTTCAACTTCCACTGAAAATTAACGTAGATTTGAATTACGTTAAAAACTGTTTTCAAGTTGGGTGTGGTGGCACAAACCTTTAATCGTAGCACTCTAGTGGCAGAGGCAGGCAGGGGGTCTGTGAGTTCAAAGTGAGTCTGGTCTACAGAGTAAGTTCTAGACTAGCAAGGCTACATAGTGAGACCCCTTCTCAAAAACGTCTTTGTCTGCAATAACTTACTCTATTCATCCTACACAACTGGAGGCCTCATTTGGGAAAGGTCACTGGAAAGGAGCTTGTGGGACTTAGATGCATAGTTGTCCTTCAGGTGTGACAGATCCAGAAAAGAAGGGCAGTCCCTCATCAAGGCAGTTAGAAAATAAGAATAAAATCACAGGAATTTATTCTTCCAAGGAAAACTTCAGGAAAACACTCAGGTTATAGGTCTTCTGAATCTTATACTGGCCTTGAACTTATTATGTAGCTGAGGATGGTCTTGAACTTCTGACCCTCCTTTCTCTACATACTGCTGTGCTGGGAAATAGGTGTGTATCACTATGCTTGGTTTACATAGTGCTGGGGACTGAACCTAGAGCTTCACCCATGCTACGGAAATGACCAAATGAGTTACAGGCTGAGCCCTCCCTGAGGTTTTCTTAACTCTTGCTTTTTTTCAAGGCCTTCTTCTGGGCCCTACTCCTTCCTCACAAATGGGAACTTGAATACCTCAACCTCCAGAAGTTATTTTTTAGGTCTAATTCTTTGTTTCTCGATTCATAATCAAACCACTGTAGAACAAGTCTATTAACCTAACAGTAGAATCCTATCTCAATAAATATCAATATAAATATGATCAGGTAACCCAAGGTCACCAAGCTTTTATTCGTTTAAATAAAGTTTATATGACCTAGCTATTCAGGTCCGGTGATGTCTGAAGAATCCACCTTTATTAGAAGTATAAGATCATGTATTATTATTATTATTAAAATAGCACAATTCTTAAAACAGTAGGATTCTAGACTGCCTTTATATTGTATATAGATTAATTGGCTTTATATTGTATATAGACTAATTTATGTTTATGCGTACAGATATTTCTCCTGAATGAATGTATGTTCCTGTGGGGGTCTCTGCCTACTCTGCCATGGCCCTCAGAGTGTTGACCTGTGAGAGGCAAGAAGGCAGTCTGGCTCAACAGGATTCAGTAGCTGGTGTTGGTTCAAACTTCGAGAGTCTAACCTTGAGTAGTTTATTTTAGGAATACTTAAGCACAGTGCAACTTGGAAAAAGTTTCCTGGTGCTAATTAACTCAATCTTGTATGTACAGGGAAGCTTAAGACTCAACCACATTGAGAAAAACTTCGTACAATCGCAAAAGATGGATTCAATAGATTAACTGAGAAGAAAGGCTCTAGATAAGGGTTTGGGGGAGGATCTAGGGCGGTCTCAACCACACAAGATAGGGCAAATGTTACCAGGCTGCCCGCCACATGCACTCTTAGCCTCCTGGGCAGAAAACAGCTTACACATCTCTCCATTAACACAGACAACCCTCTGTGTTTAACATTCCTGTGTCCCCCAGTGCTTATCTGTGAGCACAGGACCTCTGTGCCACCTACATGTGCCCATATGTGTGTTTGGCTTGCAGAGACCCAGAAGGGGGATTTGGATCTACAAGTGGTTGTGTGCTGTCATGTGGTTCCTAGTAACTGAACCTGGCTCTTCTGCCAGAGCAGCATGAGCTCTTAACAGCTGAGACATCTCTCTTGTCAAAATTAATTGTTCTAATTAAGTGTATACAAAAGTAACCAATTACACGCTGAGTATTAAATAAGTCTGTGCTAAAACAAAGTGTCAGGGGCATCAAATGTGCCTTCTCTGGTGACAGGATTGAATAGTAAGGAAGTCTGCTTAAGTGTTCATCTTCCAGGCTGGAGCTTGGCCTAGGTCACTAGGGATGACTTGAAGGACATCCCTACCCTGTGTTCATGGGCAACAGCTCTCTGGTGGAGGTCAGGGTGCCCTGTGCTTCCTCTGTTGTGATACTTGCCACATTTTATTGCCATCTGCTGTTGCACTGTCACCTTCCCACCTAGACTCAGCTCCACATTATCAAGGGCTTTGTTGATAGTGTTGACTCTGTCCTCACTGTGTCCCCAGTGCCTGACTCTTGGGGTATCCAGTTTATCCATGCAGCCAGGGTCCAAGGAGAGCTCACTACTTTGTAGCACTTCTCTAGGTACTGGTGGTCTGGATGGTGAACAAAACAGGTGAACTCATTGCAATAAAGAACAGATGAAGCTGGGCGGTGGTGGCACACGCCTTAATCCCAGCACTCGGGAGGCAGAGGCAGGCGGATCTCTGTGAGTTCAAGGCCAGGCTGGACCGATAGGCTCCAAAACAATAGAGAAACCCTGACTCGTAAAACCAAAAAAAAAAAAAAAAAAAAAAAAAAAAAGAACAGAACAGATGAATTGTTAGTAAAGTGGGGTATGGGGACTGAAAACAGGGCCTTTTGAGGGACCTACGAGGAAAAGCCACCCCTACCTCTTAAGCCCCAGGTAGATGGAAGAAAGAGCAGGTTTTAAATGCCAGACAGTAGACTAAGCATCTCTAAGTAGATTATCACTTAGCTCTTATTATTCTTCAGGTGAGATTATTAGTTCCATTCTGGGGGGTTTCAATAGGGTAAGTATATTAGAATACTTATGGACTATTTATGAAATCAAGGTTCTTTAGAAACAGAATTAAATGTCAGGCTCTTCACTTGGATGGTTTAGACTCTTTTCTCTAACCCTGCTAAAGCTCAGACCTTAGTTTAAAAACAATTTCTAATGAAGCTCTTCAAGGCAACATTTAAATCTATATCCTGTAATTCTCAGAGAAACAAAATCTTACTAACTTCCAACTACTTGATTAATCGGTGAGCCAGGTGTGGCGATTTATGCTGCAATCTTAGTACTCTGAATGCTGACACAGGAGAAATGCCATCAGTTCAGGGATAGGCTGGGCTACAGCATGAGGCTAGTTGCAATAAATGGCGAGTTCTATCTCTTACAACTTCTCAACCACAGCAAGCTTACCACACAGAAACTCTTAGAGCTCAAAATACTAGAGATAATCTTTCAATATCCCATCTGTGCATAAAGAATACGGAAATGTTATGGCTACTCTATGCTTTGCTTAGACTTTATTCTTAAGTGTGCAGACAATTTGGGATTGCTTCAATTGTGGGCTAGTACATTTAATTTCTCTCACAGATAATGGGTACATGAAGGACGGAGAAAAGCATACTGGGTGAGAACAAAATCCTATGGAGTTCAGGGTTTGAAGAGGATGCAAGACAAACAGAATCACCAATTGCCTTTGAGACTGACATCAAAAACTGAAGATAAGGCTGGTGTGTAATGCAGAGGCGGAATAATGAATGACCCAGCATGTCCAAGGCAGGCCTTGGGCTTGATCCCAGCAAAAGGATAAACAAAACAATCTTTAACTCCCATTGCATAAACCCTAGTAAGGTGCTATTAGTTTACATGAACTCTTTCAAATTGGTTAGTATTCTGGGTTTGTAAATTGTCTTGGGTTGAATTTAGCAACTTACTATCTTTCTTCAAAGGCTTGTCCTACATCCCATTGTACTTGTAATCTGGCTTCAATGAATAATGAATGAATGGTTTATCCAGAATGAAAAATACATACACATGTATTTCCCACTGAACACATATATTTATCCTGTATATGAACTAATATGCAAGCATATTTACCCTACCAGTGTAGCTCTCCTTAGGTAGTTATTTTAAAAGATGACTCCGGGAAGATGAGCATAGACCAGTAATGGAGGGCTCTAGCAGAAGCCAGGTGAAAATGAAAATCTGAGATGCTCTGTTTAAGAGACAGGTAGCAAGCTGTGACCTTGGCTTTCTTCAGACACTTTAGGCAGGCCACTGGGTGAAAAGCTTTACGGTAAAGTCCCATAAATACGACTGTGGTGGCCAGTGGTGGCTTAAAATAGCGAAATGAAGAAAAGCTTAGTCCTACTTGCCCAGACTGACTGGGACAGGTGTGACAGGGAGCAGCAGCAAGGCCGACGCTAAGTACAGATCAGAAGAAACCTTTAGGCGGTTAGGAAAATAAAACAGACGGTGTCAAAATATGAGAAGATATTTAGCTCAAGTTGACCCTGCAGGGGCTACAATCCTTACAGGAGCCTACCTCCTACTTCTTACGTTTGTTAAGTAGTTAATTTTCTCTAAGTGTTAGTCTGTCCTCCAGAAGACTTTCTACATTTTCTAGATCTACATCCAGAGTGAACATGAAGAAATGGAATGTACAGAATCATTTATGAACGATTTCCATTTTAGCCAGTATGTTACTGATAATGACAACAGTAACGCCCTTGGAGCATTGACTCTACTTGGTACTGCATTAGGAATATAACAATTTCCCCTGCTGCTCACTGAGAGTACTGGCTGATTTATTGTGGGCATCTACTAAAACCTGCTCTTATATGGATATTTCTATGAATTTTACACCATTCATTATCTTTGAACTTGCACAGTGCCCTCGGTTTCTCAGGACAGTAGGTAGTAGTCCATTGTTTCTGTTGTTATTCACTGACTACTCTGACAGTGATGTGTCACTTCCTAACTCCAGCTAAGAGGGCTGGCACTAGAAATGAGAGGCAGCTCCCTGCTGCTATGAGGAAGGCAGCATTTTCACACCGAGGGTCAGGCCAATCCTGCTTTCCAGATCTGGATGGTCATTCCCAGGGCAGGCTGAAGCTCAAGGGAGAGGCATGGCTGCTGAGAGCATCTCATATATATGTAGCTTGGATTTTGATCAGTGAACTTGAGTTGGAAGTTTCTTGGCTTACTTCAAGAACCAGCAGATTCTTCACATTAGTAAAGCCTACGCTTTTCCTAAATACACTGGTAGTGTGTTTACAAACACACAGTGGTACTACAGAGAAAGATTTATAGGTAAAGCAATATTTTTTTTCCCTATCTCAGGCTGATGAGGGGGATGCTGGGCACATTCTTTCACTATGGTATTTGGGAAATTAAATGCCCTACCAGGCAGGCAAAGATGTAACATTAATGGAATGGCACTGCTGTGATTTGCTCCTTGTTAATCAAGTAGATAGTATACCCATGAAGCCTTATTCATAAATATTCAAGTTGAATGTCTGAGAAGTAGTTGTTTCATGCAGTGAATCAATAGTGGTAGAACTATAACAAGAGATAATGGTTTATCATTGTTCAAACATTTTAAAAACCAAATACTTACTAAATACTCAAATGCCTTATGTCTGTCTTAAAAGTCATTTACTTCCACAAAAGTTGACTCTTGGGAAGTTATTAGTCTAGCTGGATCTGATTAATTTACATTTAGCTAATGAAAAAGTGAAGGATGAAAAAATAACCTATGTTAGAGGTACATATATTAGCAAAAATTAACATAATTCAAAAGATGAATTTTAATTGTTTAACCCCATGAATAAATGGAATAAAACTAAGAAAGTGATAGCTAGTCTATAATATACTTGGTCAGGTTTCCAGTTCAAACTTTTATGTACATGTTTCTGAAATGCTAGTACCCGTCAAGAGGCCATGTCTTACTTACTCCCTGTGTAGTACCCATCAAGAGGCCATGTCTTACTTACTCCCTGTGTGTTTCACAGTGAACCTGACTACCCAGAGGCATACAGCACTAAGCTAATGTATCATTTTACTTTAAATCAGTCACTTTAAAAAAAGATTCTAAAAATATTTCAGATCCCATAAATCCTCCAGAATTTCATAAAATCCCAGTTCCATATGGCCCTCACCAAACCAATCTCTTGTCAAGGGCCATGCAGTAGACATTTACCAATAACACAAATCTTACTGCCCCCCCCCCAAAAAAAAACTCACCTGTCCAAGACACATCAATGGTCAGTATCTATTAGACAGCTGAGTCTGGAAGCATCCACACCCCAGAGATGAGTTATAAAGGACTACATTGTTGTAAAAAGATTCTCACTTGGGGAAAAAAGTATTCTTATTGAAGAGCCTGGCTCACTAAGTAAAATACAGACTGCGTATTTATGAGAATTTACAATGACTGCTCCTGACAGTCCTTTGAGTAAACATGGAGCTCCTTGTTGCTAAGCAGAGAGGCACTGGCTGTGATAGTGGCTATGTTTCCCTTCTAGGGGGCCACTGAGCAGGTAATTAAGAACTTACCAAGACACTCTGATAGATACTTGCTAACCCATGAGACCATCTTGGGCTGGCCAGGCCTTAGTCCCATCTGAACTGTCTGTCTACAGTGGGTGGCTGAGTAGGCTCAAGATTCTTGTCCAGAGAACTCTTTGCTAACATGAGCTTTAAACATGTTCTGCTCTGTTCTAACAACGCAGTGGAACTTTGTCAGCCCAACTGTAGTCAAAATGGAAAATAACCCACTCCATACTGCTCCCTGAACAAATCCAAGGGAAGGGCTCTTGCGAGACTTACTGAATTGGCTTCTTTTTCCGAAGAAGGGCAGGGATCACTGCTTGCAGGATTCTTTGGTATAGCAAGTTCAGACTTCTTGGCTTTTGGCTCAGCTTTGCTTTCTTTGGCAACTGATTTTGTCACAGATTTAGGGGGACTCCACTTGTTAGGCGACGGCCTATATACCAAAGCCGAGGAAGACTGGGTGGCTCCGTCATCCTCCCCATCTTCTGGAGGATGCTGGGGCGTGTTCAGTTTCACATAGTAGCCATGATACTGAGAGTGCAGCTCCCCATTGCTGGGGTTGGGAACATGATGGCGGCCAGAGTACTTGGACACTGTTGCTCCGAGTTCCTTTGAAGGAGCCTTTGACATCAATGGTTTATTGACAATGGCTGTCACTTGCTCCTCAGTCATGCTCCGTTTATCTTGGCTGAGTCTTGCCCCTGAGCTGGGGTTTTGTTTCTTCATGGGCTTTGGGGAGGAAGGTTGAGGGGAGTGGCTCTGTTTGGGACTTGCCTCAGGAGACCTGGGTGGTGTCGTGCCTTTGCGATAAAAATGTGGGGATTCCTTTGGTGATGGTGGCTTTTCTGGTACCTTTTCTTCTGGATTTTCTTTAACATCTACCCCCTCCTGAAATCTTTGTTTTATATAATCAGGGCCTGGAAATGAGGAACAGAAAAGAAAAGTGATAAAAAAAACTTGAAAAGGTTTGCAATCTAGGTGGACTATGATTTTACTAAAGGAGATCATGTCCTTCCTTCTCAAGATATTTATAAGGTGTGAGCACATTTCAATGCCTGAGAAAAAGGTTACTCCTGGAAAATGCTTTCAAGATAAAACTTGTTACTATTTATACTATACTGATATCCATAAAAGATAAAGAACTTAATACTTCTCTAATATGTGTATTATTTCTTATTGGAAGAACATGGTAGTTTGGTGTGGAGCAGAATTCATGTTGGTAGAACATCTAACGAAAAAATTTACTTACCCCAATTAGGTGGTATAATCAAAATAAGAACAGCATTAAATTGAATAAAGAAATAAGCTTATTTTTGTCTGATCAGAAGTTTACAGAGATCTGCATTGTACAGGGAGAACCTGCTGAGAAGGTATTTTTAACCATTACTGAAACTTTTTGGTTAGGACCAACTTCTGCCTTTAGGCTGAGCACTTTGGAATAACTTCCATGTAGTCCATTCACAGTAGGGACATGTTACCAACACTGTTCACAACCGTCTCAGGTTTTGTATTTAATTGAAAAATATATACTTCAGGAACATTTATAACACTTTTTAAAAAATCAATTTAAAGTTACTTATTTTTGGAAGTAGAGACTAGAGTAATAGTCCAGCAGATAAAGTGTTTTCTAGAAAAGCATGAGGACCTGGGTTCAGGCATCAGAAGTGATGTCACAAAAGCCAGGTATGGTTTTGTGAATCTGCAATCCTGGCACCAGAGAGGCATGACACACAGACTGGCTCCTAAGCTTGGCTTAGATAACTGGTGAGGCCTAGGTACTAGTAAGACCTTGTCCCAGAACAAAGTGGATGGCACCTAAGGATGACACGATGCTGCTCATTGGTTTACACACACACACACACACACACACACACACACACACACCTACATACATTCACATACTTAAAACAACAACAACTGCTTCACTTTTTTTTATATTGAACTCCTCATAAAACAAGAGGGTACATGGTATGATGGCACAGGCTATGAGAGCTTACTGATGCCAATGGTCTAGAAAGGGGGGCTTGCTAGGGAGTCAAGACAGCTCTCAATTGTGGTGCCTTCCTTCTGCGTGTGCTAGCTCTTGGCCCTTCCCCATAACCATGTCATGTGCTACCACTCTAAATCTCATGAAATCAAAGTCACACTCAGCAGAGCTGCCATTTTCTTGTAAATGGGCAGGAGGTGACACACTTTCACACATTAATAAGAGAGAAACCAGCCACTAGCTTGCTCAGGGAGCCAACCAGCTCTTGCCAAAAGCATTTCATCTTCATTTTCTTTCCTGTGTCCAACCCCATCTCTCATTCCCAACCAGCTAAAGACATGCCGAGGGGGCTGAAGAACAACAATCCTCAATTGTTAAAATATACTTCACATTCACACTTTAATTGCTCTTCCATTGTAGCTAAGTTAGCAATTTATAGTAATATGGTTGCTATTTATTTTATAAACCTTTGTTTGTTGATGTTTTGTTTTTCCTTGAAATGTAAAGGCTCACCTAAGTCATAGGAAGTAGGTTCTACTGATGTGGAAACAGCTCAAAAGCCAAGTCACACAGTTCCTGGCTCCTTTACAATACAGCACAATGCTGCACAGAAGGCAACTTTTTCTTTCTTATTTTTTTGAGAGTATAATCACAACATTGTAGGGATATATTATTTATGATTTATTAAAGCTTGAGTTGAGGATTCAGAAAGCAAAGTCAGTCACAAGCTGCAGAAGCCAGACACACACCTTTAATTCCAGCAGCCAGAAGCTAGTGGTACACATCTTTAATCCTAGGATTGAGGAGGATTGAGAGATAGATGAATCTCTGTGGGTCCAAGGCTACCCAGATCCACACAAGAGTGAATCAGTCTAAAAGAGAATTATAGCTCAAAACTTTCATCCCAACATTAGGGAAGTATATAAGACAGAAGCAAGGTCTCAGAGAGGCATTCATTCTCCAGCTACACTGAGGAGAAGTAGCCATGTGAGACTTGGTGAAGAGCTCGTGGGTGGATCAGCCCTTTCCATCCTGAGCTTGAGGTGAGAGATAGTGGCCAGCTTCTTTGCTTTTCTGATCTTCAGCTTGAAGTTTGAACCCCAATATCAGTCTCTGGGTCTTTTATTATTTCATGCCACACAATGTTTCCCCCTTCCTTTTCCTCCCTTTAAGTGCCTCCCCTGCCCCAGGTACCCCTCTCCAGCTTCTAAGTCCATGGGTTCCTTTTCCACAAATTGTCATTGCATGCATATATGTATATGTTCCTAAATATAGCCTTTTAAGTGTGCATAATGTTACTTGTGTGCATGTTTTCAGGGCTGACTGTGGAACACTGGACAACCAATTGCCATGCTCTTCCCTGGGGAGGGCCACTTTTTCTGCTCCCAGTATTCCTCAGTTGTCTGTAGTTTTTGTGTAGGGTTGAGGCCTCCTGGTTTTTTTTGCCATTGAGTTTGGCATGTCCACTGGTGTCCTCTGCTCAGCTCAAGTTTGGGCTCATGTTGGTGAGACTTTCTGAGAATATACATAGATTCAGCCATAATACAACATTCTCCAGAAGATAAATCCACCTGTCAGCCTTCAAGCAACCCCAAACTTGTCAACAATTGGGATTTTGAATTTCTGAATTTGTTAAGTATCTTCTTTTCTTTTCTCTTCTCTTCTTTTCTTTTTGAGACATGGTCTCACTATGTAGCCCTGACTGACCTGGAGATCATTATGTAGCCCAGGCTGGCACAGAACTCAGAGATCTGCCTGCCTGCTCTTCTTGAGTGCTGGAATTAAAGGTGCTCACCACTATGCCTGGTAAGCACCCTCTTTTCTAAGCTGGTGGTTTTAACTCTCCTATAAAAGTGGGAGGGGGAAATGAGTTCCTGACCTAGAGAAAAACATTTCACTGAATGAGGAAAGGAAAGGGTTGCCTGTAACCATGCAAAGGCCATATCCTCGTTGCTGAATTCATCCTGGGTGCTCTGTGCTGGGCATAGCACCTACACGGTGCAAAAGCATCATGGGCACAAGAAATTCCATTATCCATTGACAGACTCACCCCTGCTTCTTAGTTTATTTTAGCTGTTGAGTATTGAGCATAGGGCCTCAAATTGTACTGATGAACCATACCCACAATGCTTGCTCTCTTTTTAAAACCCTATAAGCTCACCTGTACTTGTCCTATATGGAGAACCCTTTATAATTCTGCTGTAGATGCATTTTTACAGCCCCTCCTCCTTCGTGACCTCTGCTAGGAGCCAGCCTGACTGTTGCATATTATCTGCTTTCCCCTTGCCATTCCCACATTCCTCTATTCATTGTCTTTAAAATACCTTGTGTTTCACTGTTATTCGATTTTATAGCATTCCTGAACATACCATTCTAGGCACCGTAGTGAATGTACCATGCAAAGATAATTATAATAGTCAAGATTCCTGGAGCCAACAGTTCTAATTTAATCTACACAACACTGAACAGATTATATAAATGACTAAGTATTTATGACCTCAGTCCAACAGATAAGCACAAACTTATGTTTACCAAAAAAATTTGCCCATGTCTTTATATCAAAATTAAGGCCTATTAAAGGTTAGCATTTAACTTACACATACATACAGGAAAGGGTGGAAGATATAATAGATGCTGACAAGCATCAGTTACATGTTCTAAACAATAGAAGAAAAACATCAAGAGCCGCTCAACTTTGAGAAGTAAAGGTGTCAAAAAGCGTGTTTCATTTAGAAGATGTGGGGCTGTGACATTGCCCCTACGGACTGGCTTTCTCCCAGGGACCACTGATCTGCTTTCATTTATCATGGGGAGAAGATCAGAAGTAGGCAAGGGAGTTTCCCTGATAGTTCCCAGCAAAAATGACTCCCCATTGAGGATGGGGTGGTGCCAACATCCACAGCTGCAAGAGACTGTTTACTGGGGAAAAACTTGGCCTATTTAGTAATACTGGCCTAAGACCACACTTAAAAGTTATATACTTTAATTTCTGTTTATGTGTGTGTGTATACATGAATACACACATATATAAAATAACATTTGAATATGAACATATTTTCAAATGCTTTATATAAACATTTTAAACAAAAGCAAAAACCCCACGTTTATACTGAATTTATGCTTATGAAACTTATTAGGATGCTAAGTTGAGGACGTTACAATAACTGTGATACTCAAATTTGTATTACACCAAATGTACTTCCTGACTTAACTCCCAGACACCAGACAAGTCACTTCTGTCTCCTTTAGAAGCTTGCCATATTGCTTCTTTGAACAGTTATCTTGTCTTAGGAGGAGTAGGAAAGGTGTGTTTAGTATGGTCCCTTACAACTACTCTAAGCCTTTTTGGAGATTTTGAGCTAGGACTGTCACCTGGGTTGCTGATGTTGCTGAAAAACCTGCTGAATTCAAAGAAATTATTAGAATGGTAGATGTACATTTGGGTACCAACACTCAGATTGAAAACTGCCTCGCTTTACTCACTGGAAAATGACTTTAAGGAAAACATAATTGCAGCCCCACGCAGTGGTTCCTATACTTGTGGCCTATCCAAGTGTAGACAATTGAATTTGCATGCCCCAGGTGATTCTATATTCCAGATGCAAAAATTACGGGTGTTGAACAGACCTCCACTAATGCCCGCCTTACATGGCTACACCCAAATGGGAAATCGTTCCATCATGGCACAGTCATGTTAGAGAGAACTGGCCAAATGTGAGAATACACAGTTGTCTTTTTCCAGAGGAAGAGTCAATTCATTTTAAACAAGACAGTTAATGTAATGCAGTGGACAGAGGTTTTTTCCTGGACTCCGTTCTCTTGGAAGGTACATGCTGTGCCTGCTACTTGTTCTATGTAGTAATGTGTGTTATAACGTAATGCCAGCTACATAAAGCTGGTGAGTCGTGGCAGCTTACTATCAGGACCAGC